CACCACTTCCGCCCGCCCACAAATGGACGACCGTATCTGATGCTGGTATTGCTTCATTTGCAAAGTAAAATATGAAGCAAAATGAGTGACATGAAAAGGCCGCGGTGCTGCATGGATGAGTACATACGTGCAGCCGTACCTATCGTAGTGGTCATTGGCAAAATGCCCATGGGAAACTCGTCCGAAAGTTGCCTTTTGAGTCATTAAGAACGAAGGCTTTTCTTCGCAGGTTTTCGACCGTTTCACTTCGTTTTTCGCCATTTTCCCACTATATAGCGCCCTGCTAGCATTTTAGGCCGAATACAATTATCGTGCCTACTGCCTTCAAGAGGGGGTCAGTCCAAAGTTAGCCTCTATAGTAGTGGGGTTAATTCTTGAACCCGCCCCTAGCTCCTATGAATGCAAGGATGGTATCAAAGGCTGAAAGCCAACTTGGACGTCTGAGTCAGTCGGAAACAAGAAATCGGAAATAGAACCTCCCAAGAGAAGGGACTTTCGTGCCATAAAAGGGACTTACATCGATGAAATAGCCGAAGCACTGAACCAGGGATCGAGAAAAAGACTTTTCCCATGCAGCGAGGTAGCAAAGCAAAGCTTATCTTGTACAAATTGACATGGTATATGGAGAACCCCTTGTAAAATACCTGAATGAGATGTTTTTTAGGAGCAAGCGCTTGTACACTGTCTCTACCGCCATCACCCCTCACTACCGACAGGCTCAAAAAGGACAGTGAGTGGTAGCGGTCTGAGGCGCTCGCGCAATCTCCGCGAACCATTTGGGCAGGTGTCTAAACACGTTGCCCTTGAAGCGCATAACACCAGAGAACACCTTTCTGGCAACGTCGCTACGGTTCAAAATCTGATTCTCACCACTCAGCTTCACTAGCTAAGCTGGTGTCTACGCACTGCGATCCAGAGGCACAAGCTCGGTGGATACTGAAAAGTTGAGACTAGCGTTTGATGTGAATGCCCAGTGTCCGCATAGTTCGTCACCACGTACGAAATGAGTTGTACCGGAAGGAGAGCTGCAGTCGTTGGCGCAAATGATGTACTGGCAAGTGGAACGCTTACTACGCGCGCGGGTCCAGGGTCAAATCCCGCGTTGCCCCCCACTCCCGGACTAACCAGAACCTCTATCTTTCGCTGACGCTAAATTGGCACCAGATTCGTCTGGTAGTACAAAGACCTTGTAGGTCAGCTGGCCCCCGCAAGTTGTACATCGCTTTCAATAAGCCACTGAAATTCTGAGTGAAAGCAGAATGCGTGCTGCTTCCACAAAAAGGACTGATCAGGAGTAAAGACTATCCGTTTTCTTTAAATTTACACTCGTAATTTCATCTCTGTGGCATACGATTGGGCTTCGTTTGCCTTGCCCACGGGGATGGATACCTTTCCACCATTAATTTTGTTGATATAGATAAGAAAATAATTTATTAGACAAGCAACACATTCAGAAACAACAACTTATTAGTACAGAAAGAAGAAACAGTGAACGGGAACCGTTCAATCGCATACGCAATCATAAAGCGTATGCAACCACACCCGTGGAACAAGACCAAAGTGGATAGCGCAAAATCCAGGAATTGCAGCTGACGAACTATGAACAGATCATTTGACGCGAATGTTTAAAGTTCATCCTTGGGTTCTTCGCCTCCAGCTCCTGCACCAGCGCCTCCCGCATCTTTGTACAACTTGCTCGTTATTGGCATAACTTTGCTTTCCAGTTCCTGAAATATTGACGGTGAAAAAAATGTAGTAAGTTAAAATTGAAACCATGCTCTATTTCAAAGGTGTTGGTACATCGAGGGCACCATAAAACCCATCTTAACCGGAGGGGTCCTTCGAAACATGGGGAACTTATATTGCACAGCCTTATCTTGAGCTTTGTTTCGGTTAATCAAAAGATCTGAAACGGTTTAAAGCACGAAATTTCGAGAATGACCGGATCAGTTGTACTGAGTATTCTGACCTCTCACGCAACTAGACAGAAGCAATACTAGAGTTGGCCACCAATGAATGTAAAATATGGATGAGGGTAAATGAGCCACTCCCCTTATGGGTCTTCAGCCCTTCGCTGATTACATCTCGCAAAAAAATGAAGTATTCAAATCATCAGTCTCATAGCTCACCTTCTTCTGCTCCTTGAGCTCATCAGTGGTCGCGTCACGGTGGCTTTCGAGCCATTTAATAGTTTCATCAACGGCTTCTTCCAACGTCTTCTTGTCAGCATCATCTAGCTTTCCACCTAGTTTTTCCTTGTCACCAATCTGATTCTTCAGCGAATATGCGTAGGATTCCAGCTCGTTGCGTGCCTCTACTTGTTCCTTGACTCTCTTATCATCTTCAGCGAACTTCTCAGCATCGTTGATCATTCGTTCAATGTCTTCGGGGCTGAGTCGATTTTGATCGTTGGTGATAGTGATCTTGTTCTTGTTTCCGGTACCCTTATCCTCTGCGGTTACGTGAAGAATTCCATTGACGTCGATTTCGAAGGTTACCTGAATATAAGAGATGAGAGAGTATGTCGAACATGTCCCCGAAAATGGAAACGATCACGAGCCAAGTTGGGAAACAGCACCATCAGTTGTAGGAAAAATGAGCAGTACCTCAATTTGCGGAACTCCTCGAGGTGCTGGAGGAATATTGGTGAGGTCAAATTTGCCGAGTTCGTGATTATCCTTCGTCATTGGACGTTCTCCTTCGAATACCTTAAATATAGACATGGAGCTGGCTGAACATGCATTTTCTGATTTTTCAGCTTAATACACTAAATGAATGAAGGGCTAGAGTTACCTGAATTGTAACAGTCGGTTGGTTATCCGCAGCGGTAGAGAAGATCTGCGATTTCTTTGTAGGGATGACGGTGTTACGAGTGATCAGCTTAGTCATCACACCTCCCACTGTTTCAATTCCGAGTGTGAGTGGGTTCACGTCAAGAAGAACGATATCTCCAGTGTTTTCTTCACCACTGATTACTCCAGCTTGAACTGCAGCTCCATATGCGACAGCTTCATCAGGGTTGATACCACGTGATGGCTCTTTTCCGTTGAAGAAATCTTTGATCAGTTGCTGAACTTTTGGTATACGTGTTGAACCGCCAACAAGAACAATCTCGTGAACTTGATCCTTCTTGAGATCCGAGTCCTCGAGCACTTTTTGTACGGGCTTCAACGTTGCGCGGAACAGATCCATGTTCAATTCTTCAAATTTGGCCCGAGTTAGAGTTTCAGAGAAATCTTCACCGTCCATGATTGATTCCACCTCAACCTTTGTCTGATGCTGGGTTGAAAGGGCTCTCTTCGCTTTTTCAACTTCACGACGGAGTTTCTGCACGGCACGATTATCCTTTCGCAGGTCTTTGCCGGTTTTCTTCTTGTACAGCTTGATGAAATACTCCATGACACGCTGGTCGAAATCTTCTCCTCCAAGGTGAGTATCTCCATTAGTAGCCAACACTTCGAAAACGCCGTTGTCAATGGTAAGCATTGAAACATCGAATGTACCACCTCCCAAGTCGAACACAAGGATGTTTCGTTCACCTGAAAACAAGGAGTTGAGTCGCAAAAAGAGTTTGTGAAAACTTAAGAAAGAATAGATGCTGAAAAAAACCGAGCATCACTGCTAAATATCCCGCATTTTAGGCTAGTACCAATCGATACGTACATG